CTTCCAGGTGTAATTGGTTTAGTTTTGGGATGGTTTTGGAGCGACTTGGAACACTTAGTGTCATTTTCGAAGCTTAAGTTGTAAGAGTAGACCAATGATTTACTTTTGTGTAAATGACCTCAGAATAGTGTTTTGATAGTTCTAATAGGTTTGTATGATGATTTTGGACTAAGCGCATGTCCGGTTTTGGATTTGGCAATTCCTAGGTTGATTTGGCTTTATTTGGCAAAAGTTGGAAATTTGAAGGTTTGGAAGGTTTATACATTTGACCGGGAGTTGGATTTTGTATTGTCGGTTTTAGTTTATTGTTTTGAGAGTTGAAATAGGTTTTTTATGTCGTTTGTAACTTTTGTGCAATGTTTTGGGTTTAATCTGTATTGGTTAGGCTTGAATCAGAAGTTTGGTTTGAAATTTGGAATATGATGAACTTAAGAGAAGCTTAACGTGTGTTTTGGCTGTTAATTCTTTTTTTGATGTTAGTCGTGGTGTTTGTAGCATGAGGACAAGTTTGGATAAGGTATTGGAACTTATTGGTGTGATTGGATATGCTTACAGGGGTCTCAGTTGTGTTTCGTAGTGGTTTCACTTTATTTCTTCTTGGTTTTGGATTACTGGTTTTCTGATGTGTTGCAACGATTCGTGATCACGATGCTAGTCTTGTGATCGCAGAGAAAAGAGAGCATGTAGAAGAATTTTCCACTTCACATTCCCGAATGAAGTTACGCGTTCACGGAGCGTAGGGAGCTGAAGCAGCATGATCGCGTGCGGAGGACGCATTCACGAAAGAGTGATACTAGGGGGAAGGAATGCCTTCACGTTCGTGGAGATAGGCTCGCGTTCGCGTAGTCTCAATAGGTGGTCAGGCATTACGTTTGCATAAGGGCTTTGCATTTTCGAAGAAGGGGAAACTTGTGCAAGGATGTGGTCTTCGCGATCGCGATGTTGGTCCCCTGATCGCAAAGTGTATAACTGGACAGAAATATTATTTGTTATTTTCGGGACCCTGATCTCATTTTATCATATTTTATGATCGGGAGATCGGATTGAGGTTTATTTAACTCATTTGGATTAGATAAGTGTTCTTGACTCAGATTTAATTTTTTTAAGCAAATATACCACTAGGCAGGTTGCCTAGTGGCTAATATATATATAAATATCCCAAAACTTGGGTTCAAAGCTTATAAGATGTCCAAACCAATATAAAAAAATACAAAATACTACTAGTTAGTATTATGAATAGAAATGCTAATACTAATGAGCTAGCTATTACACACAATAAGGATATATGCTTCCAACTCCAAGTGGTGTAATTGAATCCAATAGCCAAGTGCAAATACCAAGTAACACCTCTAAAGCTCTCACCAGGCGCAAGGGTATGCGTATTGAACAAACGTCCAATGAACAAGGGTAATGTGGATTCCAAACTCTCACACCACTGATTTGAAGCTTTCCAGAACTGATACTCATATGTGTTGCTACAGCTTGATCTCAAAACTTGTGATCTTCAGCCGCATTAGATAGTAGATTAACTGGACATTGCCAAAGATGTTCCTGTATAGTTTTGGACCATAACTGATTGCTTAGCATGAAGCAGCAGCTGGTCATGGAAATTATCTAGGCAGTAGACTATGTCCAGTTCAAGAGCACACTGCCTAATTACTTGTGCATCATAAATCCATTATGAACAATACACACCATGACAATATGTATCACCTTGCAAGCTTGTTGTGTATCCTGTATAACTACTTGTCTTATAGAATCTGTATATTGCCAAACAATCCCCAGGCTGAGCATGATGACATGCTAATACCACTAGAAAATCATCTACCGACACACAAAGAAGAAAACCAATGAAGAGTGAGGCAAGAACACGCATAACATCCATATATATGATCATCAATCTGGTGCTTTTCATTTTGCTGCCCTAACCCTAAGATTAGAGATTTGAGCTTTATCTACATTTATTAATCTCCACCCTGCACTTGGTAGTTCAGAGAATGAGTTAAATTATATTGTACCTCACTTTGGAAATCTTCAAACTGGTCTTGAGAAATTGAAACTCCAGGAGATGGTCAACAAGCTGCCCATAGTCCATAATCTAGTACAAGCGTAACAGTTCTTTCCCATATAATGCTATACCATTCCCAGAATAAGAATTATAAAATGCTAATACGACTGGGAAGATACAACACTAAACGGTAATTAAACTGTCCATAGTTGTGCAGTGCAGTCAATGGACATTCCCAGGATTAGTAACCTGTGATATCCTCTGTTATTTCCCTCTTGAGGACTCACCTCGTTATGGCCAGAACAAGAGAATCCTTGGGCATATAAAGAAAATCATCTGTGGATAATGGGTTGTGCTGGAAACTTCCATGTCCAGTTAGTCGAACCAGCTGTAGTAGTAATTTCAATGAGCCACACAACTGCAGAAATCAAAACCGTGAGGGCCATCTCTATTACACCTGTGCTGCCTGCTAGTTGCAACATTGAGAATTTCAACTCCAGCGTACCCATCATTGTGAAATATATCAGCATTCCATACGAGTTGTGTGCCTAAACATTGTCTCATACAGCACCTGGCCATAGGTAATCAATAGCAGCACCAACCAGTGTATTACTAGTTAAGTAATCATGTGTAGATTGTTTGGATCAATCAAAATCTGGTTTTGGAAGTCCAGAAAACTGGTGCTTTTTCAACAGAATGTGCATATCATGTTGATACTACAGATTGCAATAGTATCAATTGTTTGAACTTGTCCATGGTTCCTGCAAAATTGAATAAACAGGTTAGTGTAAAAGTGTTTCTAGTTGCAGTAGTGGCATAGGTGGCCAGTTTCTTCATGGCCACTTGAGCTAGGATTTCCAGTTAGTGAAGGTGGCTGCTCTAGACAGATTAAAAATATATGATCCATTTGAAGTTTCTTTGGAGAATCTGTGTTGGTAGGTGTTGCATTTGTTGTTTGACGACCTCTAGAATTAACAACAGTTGTGCAGCTAAGACTACCTCGTCCTGATTTGTTGTACCAGTATTGTTGCTTGTCATTTGTTTGATATTGGGGTTGACAATGAGTTATGGAGCACTTGAGATTGGTGATTTCTTCTTGGAACCTGATTGCTATTTGAGGACCTCTATACATAACAATATATGTGGGGTAATGTATCAACATTCAAGCATTGTTAGGAGATGAAGGTTATCAATCACAATCATTTTTTACAACTTAATAAAATCAGTATGGTGCCTTCTTCTTTTCTACCCTTATCCTAAGGTTAAGGATATGGGCCTTTTCTAGGTTGATTAACCTTCTACCTGCACTTAACAACTCATTGAATAGGTTAAAAGTTATTGTTCCTGTGATAGAAAAAGCCATGTTAGTTAAGTAGTCTGCAAGTGTTGCCCTCCCTTAGAACATGTTGGAAAATCATATTGAAATTGTCCTTCATCCCCCCGATTCTCTTCACTTCCTTCATTATGCACCAAGGTATTTCCCATTCACCTTCTATTATCCTTTTTATTACCCGGGAATCAATCTCAATTATTAGTGGATGAATTTGTTGAGTTACACAATATGCCAGCACTTGTGTAATTGCTTTTGCTTCTGCAACAATATTAGTTGTATTTTCTATCTTTTCTGCCCTAGAAAAAACCAAATCACCTCTCCAATTTCTCACACAAAAACCATAGAACCTTTGTCTAGGATTCCCTCTTGAGGGTTTGTCGGTGTTGCATTTGAACTATACTTTATAGGGTGAATGCCATGAAACTCTCTTGGTCACCACATATGGTTTATACCCTTAAAAGTAAGTAATCATGTCTGTGTATAGCAAGGGTATGCTTGTCAACCATGGATATCTGATCTTTGCTAAATTATGCAACGTCTTGTTCACCTCATGAATTACCTGCTACAAGAGACTATTCCTCCCTGTTTCATGGTGTTTTTCCTCTTCCAAAGTTCCTAAGTTATCACTATCGGGGCTGCCTGGAACAGTTTGTTTCAGTTTTGGACAGCAGTCAATATTCCACCACATTTTTATCGCTTGATGAACCTGCACTAAGTTTTCTATAATTTATGCTGCCTGCCCAAATGATCTCCACACTTTATTTGTTGTTGCGCTTGTTAGGAAAATGTGTTGAAAGGTGTCCTTCTGCGGTTGAGAACAACACCAATATTTTGATACTATCATGTATACAGTCCTTCTCCACATATCATTTGTTGGTATTTTACCTTTCCATAATCGCCACATAAAGAAAGATATTTTAAAAGGCAATCCTCTAGTCTATAGTTGCTTATATTCAGTCATTGTGGGTGCTCTTATATTCAGTCATTGTGGGTGCTATGTGCCACATTAATTGCCATGCAGTAGTTACTGACAATCTCCCTGATGCATTAGGCATCCATTTAGGTGTGTCCCAATATTCACCATTATTTTCAAAATGTATTTCCTATTTAATATGATCTGCAATCTCTGTTGGAAATGTTTGTTCCAATAGATGATGATTCCAACCATTTCCTTCTCTCAACTCTGCTACCTCTTTAATGTTTTCATTGATGTTCAAGTCTGGTTCAACAACATGATATAATGCGCATAGACTCGTCCAATTTTCATGCCATATGTTGGTAGTGCCTCTGTTTATCTCCCATAGGATTTCATGTTCCACTTCTTCCCTTGCCTCCAACATTTTCTTTCAAACATGTGAGCCTTTCCTGAAGTGAACAGTAGTTGGAGGTTCCTTTTTGCAGAATTTATTCCACATGAAATTAGCCCATAGTGATTTTGTGGTCCTGAATTTTTACCATAGTTTAGAAAATAGTGCTTATGAAACATCAAATAGGGATATGAACCCCAATCCACCTTCCTCCTTTGGCATGCAGATATTCTGCCATTTACTCCAATGCCTGCTTCTCCCTTCATCTTTGTTACTCTAGAAGAATCTAGCAAATATTTTATGCAAATGTTCTAGTACATTTTTGGGTGGATCCAGGACTGAGAATATGCGTTTATAGAACACTTGAGATCAAAGTAGATTTGCCTCTATACGACAATAGTTTGCCCTTCCATGAATGCAGTTGATTCTTGACCTTTTTAATAAGATCATTGTAGTATATCTTTCTTCTTCTTTTGTAGAAGATAGGGCATCCAAGATAGGTGAATGGAAAATTTTCTTTTGAAAAGCCAGTGATGGTTCCTACTGTGTTAACCAAAGCTCCATAAGTATTTTCGTGCATGTAGTATGATTTTTTTGCCTTGTTAATCAATTGTCCATAGGTGTGCTCATACATAGCCAGGAGCTCCACTATCTTTTGCAAAGAGTAAGGGTCAGCAGAAGCAAAAATGATAGTGTTTTCAGCATACGCCAAATGATTCAATGGGTCAGTCCACTTAGGCATTCCATATCCTTTGAAACTCTTATCTTCAAATAGTTTATTCAAAGATCTAGATAGTACCTCTGCTGAGAGTATAAACAAGGCTGGAGATAGAGAATCGCCTCGTTTAAACCTTCTTATTGAGTGAAAGTAATTTGAAGCTTGACCATTGATCAGACTGGAGTACCAATTATTGGATAGCAAGTTCCGCACCATGTTGATGAGGTATTCTGCAAATCCCATTTTCCTCAGATACCCTATCATATGCCTTCGCCATGTCAAGTTTGATCACTACATTGGCAGGTTTTTCCGGTAGTCTTATGTCGGTAACAATTTCCTGAGTTAACAAGATATTTTTAAATATACTTCTCCCCTTGATAAAGCCTTACTGATTGGAAGATATTAGGACTGGCAATATCTTTTCCAGTCTATCATGAACCACTCTAGAGATTACCTTGTTTATAAAGTTACTCAAACTTATGGGTCTGAGATCTGAGAAAGTTTGGACCATTGGTATCTTGAGCAGTAGAACAAGATTTGTATGAGTTATTTATTTAGGCAAAGACCTTTCTCCATAAAACATTTTCAGCATGTTGTGTATGTCTTCACCTATAATATCCCAGTATACTTGAAAGAAACTGCCAGTAAATCCATTTGGGCCACCTGCACTTTCACCACTTAACGCAAAAGTTACTCCCCTGTCCTCCTCTATTTAGGAATTCTACAGAGCTCTAAGGTCTACTCAGCAGATACCATGTTAGGCACATTGTCAAGTAGTTCAAAGTTTGTAGGCTCATCTTTTTGTGTGAACTGTTTCTGGAAGAATTCAATTGCCACAACAACAATATTTTCCTGTGTATCAATCCATGCTCCATCATTACTTTGTATTCTTTTTAACTGGATCTTCCGCCTTTTACCATTGACATGGTTATGGAAAAATCTAGTATTTCTGTCCCCTTCTGCAAGTCATTCCTGCTTTGTCTTTCCAATATTGTTCCTCAATGCTCAGTTATCTCTTCAACTCAGTTTGCTACTTCTGTAGGACTATTCTATTCTTGACTGTTGGCATTTCTTCAAATAGAATTTCCTTCACTCTGACCACATATTCTCTTAACATCAGTTATTTGAAGATATCTCCATAAGTGAGCTTGCTCCATTTAGAAAGAGCATTCTTAACTCTCTTTAGTTTCTACTTGAATATCAAGAAAGGATCTCCTGTGAATTTTGCTCTCCAATTTTGTCTAACCACTTCCATAAAAGATTCGTGTTTGGTCCGTAAATTTAGAAACTTGAATGGTTTGACAAACTGTATATTCTGATCACTACGACTCATCAATAGTGGAGCATGATCTGAGCCCGTTCTAATGAGATATTCCACTACTGTATTAGAAAATAATTTCTGGAATGAAAAATTGACAAAAATTCTATCCAATCTTTTGAATATGCAGTCTTCAGCTGATCTCCCATTCCACCAATTGAATGGGCTTCCTTTATAACCATTGTCAAACAACCCACATGAGTTTACACAAAATGCAAAAACTTCGTATTCTGGAGGGTACACTAGCTGTCCTCCAATTTTATTCTCTTCACTCAGAATTACATTAAAGTCTCCTCCAACTACCCAAGGTAGTTCCATATCACTAGTAAGGTAGTATAGATTATCCCACAATTCTAATCTTTCCAGCGATGAGCATTTTGCATAAATAAAAGTCATCATGATGTACTTTCCAATATCTCGATGATACACCCTGATAGTTAGTTGTTGTTCAGTGTCAATCACCAAATCCCATTGTACCACATCATCTACAAAAAGCCATATCTTGACAATAATATTTGATATTGCGTTTTCCATGCCTAATCTCCTCCTGTAGTTATGAATAAACCTCTGCTTTTGAAAATGTTCCATAAGTGCTATAATGAAAAAACCATGTTCTTTTTGCATGTTAATAACTCTCTAAAAGGCCTGTTGAGTCTTAACAGACCTTATGTTCCATATGAGTATTTTAATCATTATCTAGTCGTGGAGGTTGCCCGCTTGGGCAGTATTCTTGTCGGTGGATGCTGTTCTTTACTTGAGATTGCTTCTTCCCCTTTTTTCTCTTTCTGGCTGAGATCCTAGGTGATACATCACCATCGCATGTGAGAACTTTGAAGTTCCCATCAGTAGATTCATCATCAGTTTCATCTGCTTATTGTTCTTTAAACTCCAAAGCATAATGATTTTCCATTGACAGGTCGCTGTGGGTAATAATCTCGTGCATTACATGATTAGGAGATTTCAATGGCGCATTGATTTGAATCCGCATAGGATAACCCATACCTGATGTACATGCCAAAGGTACTGTCTCAATTGCACTTGACTCCCTAGGAACTAGAGTTGTCCCCATCTGATCATACACCATGTTTGGTACTGAATGCACTATATCTTGTGAAGTCTCTGATTCAACATGGCTAGCCTGCCCCTTAGCTAAAGGTTTTACCCCATCACCTTCGACATTTGATAATATCTCCACCATTGAACTGCTGTTCAAATCAGGGCTGGATACTACCTTTTGTACATGTTTTGTCATTGAGTTATCCTTTCGCACTTCAAGTCTTATATTTGTATTTGCCTCTGGAGTGTACCCATACTATTGTGCTTCATTATTCCCTAGTTTTCTAGCTCTTTTATTGGTTCCAATGGACTTAGGTGAGTCTAGAGATGTACGCGATTGTATTTCCTAGCATGTGTGGTTGAGGGTGACATTAAGAGTTTCCTTGGGCTTTCCAAATATCCTTTGAACCCAATAAGATATATTTTCCTTTGTAACAACACCATTAACCCCAATATCGGTAGGAGTAAGTCTTCTAGCAATCCCATATTTGTCTTTGTTCTTTCTATCAGATTCATTAATCACCTCTGTTTTAGTTTCAAATGCTTGCTTTTTCTGAAGGCATTGTTGAGTGGCAGCATCATTCATTACTTTATCCATCCTCATGTTATCATGTGCATCAGAACTTTTTTGCGAAATATGAGGTAATATAGGTATCTCCTGGTCATTCACCTTTCCTCTAGTAACTTCAGCCTTAGGATTAACAGGATCAGAACTGGGAGCTGACTCTCTCTCCACAAAAGATGGTAGAGGGGTGTGTGGTTTGGAAGGTGGATCTGTATTATGTGCTGGCCTGGTCACTTGTGCCTCGACTCTTTGTTCAGTAGGCTGTTTAGATTTCTGTGGCTTGTTTATTTGGTTGATACCCCTGGAATTTTTCTTCTTTTGAGATTTTCATTGATCCTTGGAATGGTTTTCCTTTATTGATTGTTGTGCTGTTGCCTTTTGACCAATTTTTGCTTGTTGTTCTTCCCGTTTGTTTTGCTCCACCATTTTTTTGCTTGGGATTCTAGTCTTTGTTCTGCCCCTGTATTATCTGCTCTTGTTGATGTTGTGTTCCATTTGCTCTTTTTGTCTTGTTTGCAGTGTGGTTCTCAATATTGTGTGTTGTTTATGGTACAACTTTCCTCTTTTCTTGTTCTTCCCTTCTCCTAATAGAGCAGTAGTATTATTTATGTCCGAGGTGTCTACAATGTGTGCAGTATGTTGGTGGATCTTCATACACAACTTTCAGCTACTGGCCATCCCTATTAACATCCTGATTATCATCAAAGCCAAGCCAAACATGATGTGGTATGTCTTGAGTTAAATCAACCCGCATGTTTACTTTTGCTACACATCCCCTTCTTTTTTGCATGATGCAAGATCTAGATGCAGAACCTTACCAACATGTGATAGTAATACTGATAATATTTCCCTGTAGTAAAAATGCCATGGCAGTTCAAGAATAATTATCCAAACAGGGACAATAGGTGTATCCTCATTTGAATTGAAGGTAGGCGTCCAAGCTTGTAATTCCATTCTTTGATCCTGGATGTACATGAAATATTTTGTCCATATAGTGGTGTGATCATACTCATTGTCTAGATCAATGTACACTATTCTAGCATTGAAATGGGCTATTTTAACACCTCCTCTGAGTTCAGTTTGTGCTACGAAGCTTCTTGTTATCTGCTCCATTCTTGGCATTGTGTTAATGACTTTCCCAACAATTATATATTGGCCAACAATTTGTCTAGATCAATGTACACTATTCTAGCATTGAAATGGGCTATTTTAACACCTCCTCTGAGTTCAGTTTGTGCTATGAAGCTTCTTGTTATCTGTTCCATTCTTGGCATTGTGTTAATGAATTTTCCAACAATTATATATTGGCCAACAATTTGTCTAGATCAATGTACACTATTCTAGCATTGAAATGGGCTATTTTAACACCTCCTCTGAGTTCAGTTTGTGCTACGAAGCTTCTTGTTATCTGCTCCATTCTTGGCATTGTGTTAATGAATTTGCCAACAATTATATATTGGCATTTGTTGTCCAGTGTGACCATGTAATCCTTCATGGTGAATATAACAGCTGGTTGGCCCTATTTGGTTGTTATTTTTGGAGGTGTGAATTCTATTGGGGTTATCTCTGCATCCTACCTTGCTCTTAACTTTGTAGCTAGGGATTGTGTGATAGTAGGAGATGGTGGAGCAGGGTAGTTAGAAGGTTTATTCGATTGGGCATTGGTGTCTGTTGGATTGATTGGAGTAGCTATTTTAATATTCTGAAACTGGATATTTTGGTTAATGGTTGCAGGTGGTTTAAAGGTGTTTTGTGTATTTTGGTTTATTAAAATTATTTGAGACCTTTGGCTTTGTGAGTGAAGTTGGAGCATAGGTGGTTTTGTTGTGATCTTTGGCTTGACAGATGGTATATGTTGGTGGTAAGTTAGGCTTTGTGGTATTTTGTTGCAGTGTTGAAGCATATTTTTGTTGCTCACTAGCATGCATTTTATCAAAGTTAGTGGATATTTTAGGAAAGGTTGAAGGTTTTGGTATTTGAGTGGTTTAGGGTTGTGTTTGAACATTGGTTCCCTTAGTTAACGTATTAGTAGCTTGAATATCTATTCCTGAGGGAGCCAAATTTGACACTGAGGGGAGTGGTTGAAGTTGATCAGTAAGAGTTGGTTCTGTATCTTTCTTGTTATCGATAGGAAGCTGTTCGATTGATATTTGGTCAGTTGCACTATTAGGAACAACTTGATCTTTCATCGATACAGCTGAAGGGTCAGCATCTGGTCAATCTCTATTGTTCTGATCTTGCGATAGAGATTGTACTAGCTGTCGACATGCATCAACTTGCGGAGGATCATTTCTATCCAATTGG